TACTAACATACAGCATTTCACTTTTATCATAATATGAGAAATAATTTTAGACCTGTATATTATAATTTGTCAAAACCACCCCAATGCGAAAGCGTTATAATTTTGTTTACATAGATATATTTAACGGAGTAAAAGTCAGGATAAATACACGGGCATTTAATTTGTCACTGCGGACATCAGTTACCTATAATACACATACATTTATAACGTATAAATAATAAACGCTGCAGCAAGGAAGGTATATGGTATACGGTATACAGTTCTCCACAGAATATACTCAACTACGATGTGTCACGCGCGGGCGGATCAAATGCCGGCCGGAAGCGGTCGCGGGGGCTCGCTGCAGGGGGTCGCGGAGCGGTGGCTATGTAGGGCGGATATACCTATATCGATCGTCGTGCGCGGCCATTTTATCGTCGTCACGGCGGCACCGGACTTCCGCGGTGCGCGTCCGGCCCGGCGCGTTTTTATTGGACGCCGCGCGTCCCACGGACAACGACACGTCCGCCGCCGCTCAGAGCATATTTTACATACATATATGGACGCTTGCACGCCGGTCGCGGCTTCTCGTTGCCAAGGGATACGTCGCGTTATTCACACTTGAAATATAAATCGCTCTCCCACGCGCCCCTCACTCTTGTGATACGCCACCACACCACGCACGCACGCACGCACGCTTAGCTTTTTCGCTTGTTCTCGATTTCCTCATCACGTGCAGCGCAGATGCGCGAATTATATCCATTTGTACCACGCGTGTGTAATGTATATGTAAATATATTATATGATATAAGCTGCTCACCGGGTTGGTCCACAAACAGGTGAACTTTTTTTATCACTTAGGTATACTAAAAACAATTTCATCTCGATTTTGCTTTAAAAATATCACGAAAATAACCATTCTACATATTTCTTTTCGACATTAGGTAAATATATTAGATAATATAACTTCTAATTTATACATAGCGTCTATACTATTCCGAATATCCGATCAAGCATTGAATTTATTAAGTACCTATTGCATTTATTAAAATAGACATATTTATATACCTAAGATACACCTAGAATCTAGATATTAGTAAATGTCATATTTCATAAGATTTAAAAAAGAGGGTTCATATACTTTGGTCTTGAAATCATTCAAATGTGATATCATATATTATTATATTATGATTCCGTTTTCGTATCAAATTTAATGAATTGAAAATCATTATGTAAGTCTTATCAAGTTGAAAAAAACAAATGTTAATTGAACCTTTCATCCGGCTTAAAACGCTAATCTGATCAAAAAAATGAACAACGTGAATGGATAATATTAACAAGAATGTATACCTATACAGTTTTAGAGAACCCTTCGCGAAATAATCCCAGAAATCCCGGTGTATTTTATTGTTACATGCGTTTGTGTTCGGAATCATTTGACCGTCTTCTGCTCCGTAATATCATTGTTAAAGATCAGCCAACGCTTAAACAAGGAAAGGATATGAGAAAAACGATAAGGCGCATGTGAATACAATAAGTGTATATACAGAGGTAATCGTATCTCGTTCATATATTGCGTCAAAAGAATGCCGCGGCCGACGTGCCGCCGTCTTGAACACTACTGCAGCAGCCGGTACAAGGTGTTTTGTAAAAAATTGCCTAGTCTCTTTTGTTTTTAATCTCAAAGAAATGAAAGGAGTTTTGCGAATTCTAAAGAGGCCGATTAACTTAGTTTTGTTTTTATAATGCAAAGTCACGAGTGCCGAAACAAAAAAAAAATAAACAAAAGAAATTACGCACGCTATTAAGACACAATAGATATAGGTAATCATAAAAAAATAAAAAATAAATAGTCGGTATTAAATCAATGGCTCCATTTACCACGAATTAAATATTTAGCGGATTTAATTAAAGCAAATGTTTCAGTCAATATTTATATGGATAATATGTAGGTACTTACGTATAGATACCTATATCTATAAATATGTTTATATGTAGGTAATAATTTCAACTTTTAGATGTTAATAATATTTTACCAGGTAAATATATATAAATATAAACAAAACTGTTACTCTTTTAACACGATAAAGGCGGGTTTACACGATACACGTGTGCACACGAAAAATGTTCAGCTATGTCCAACAACGCGGTATCGTGGTTAATCGTGTGGTAATCCAGCCAAGTACCAACCTATTACAGAAAAAGATTATAGCAAATGTGAATATTTTATAGTGGAAACTGGAAACTCGCATTAATAGTCATGGACAATGGTCATATATCTAGCATACTAGAGCATTCTAGCTATAGTTTTAATTTTTAAATACCTAATACGTATTGTGTTTAACTTAGTGTACTACACTACTACAGTACCTGACCTAAACTCTATTCACACTATATAATAAACCATATATACTAAAAAATGTACTAGAAAGTACCAACAATTTAGCAGCAAAAATAAATAATTAACCATCATAACTGATAAGTGAATATCAGTTACACGTTTTATTTTTATAGAGTTGATTTATTGATGAAAAAAACAAATATTTTAAATATTAAGTGAGCCCGGCGAACTTAACGCCTTCAGATAAACTTTTGAGTGATAATAAAACATATAATAACATTTCTGTATTCGTTTAAGCTGCAAACATTTCTATAATATGCTGGTAAATAGTGCGGAAAACATGTTTAGATTAGGTTATACAAAAACTATATACTCATGACTCGCAAGTATGATTCCTTTAACCAGTTTACTTTTTGCAGTTCACAAGGACCAAGAAACTAGGATCTTCTGAAAAGCCAAAAGGGCTTAAGTATCTATAAATGTACGCGGAAATCAACTAAGTACCTACTACCGTAACATAATATTAAAAACATTGTAGTGAGTTCATAATATTAAAAATAAATATTCATCAATAATGTCATTTGATGTTTGACTAGTTTGAGTATGACCTGAATTTACATCATCAAATAATCAAGAGTTTAACATTCATAATAGGTTAATTATTGTTATTCGTTTCGGTAAAATTACGAACATTTTTACGAACAACAAAGGGAATAATAAAACTAAATAAAAAATCAGAATTAATGTTCATCCAATATTTGTGAAGTATATAAGTAGGTATAATCATTGATTATATGATGTATATAATATATATAAGCTAAAGCTATATTATAATAAGCTGTGTAGTTGATGCTTAACCAATAAAGAAAAAAGAATATATATATATAAACATTTTAATTTATATATTTATATTTATTACTTCAAAATCCGCGAAAAAAAGGTATGTGAATAGAAAAGATAAAATCGATAATTCGATAACAATATTTTATAACCACGAACATGCCTCTATAGTAGGTATCTGGTATATATTAAGTAATAGTATGATACATAACATAAAGATACCGGCTTCTATTGGTATAAAAAGTAAAATCGTATATTTTTTTTGTCCCAACTCGTGTTAATTTGTTTATAATAAGTACAGTTGTATATATGACAACATTATACACATACATTTTTCCTCTTTGAGAATACCGAGTGTCATTTGCATTTTGCTGCAGAATATATTTATTTGTTTTATCCCTCTGCCTCTTGGCTCTTTCCATCACCGGTTCTACTAAGCTCAGTAATATTATTATTATTATTATATTGTATACGATGAGGCACTTTTTGGAGATGAATTACGTGCAGCACGGTGAATGGACAAAAGGGATCAGGATGCGGCCGACTAATTTAGCAAGTTTCCAACCCCGATAATATCCCTGGGCGCTTTTCAATACGCGTGCACACACACACACACACACAACCGTAGGTATATTATAATATATATATGTACACGTGTATACTATATATAATATAAACACAAGTAAAATTGTGTGTGCAGCAGAGTCGTAGGGCCTGCTGACACCATTGTCTGAAGGTGTCCTAAGTCCAGTTGCCATGGCAACGTGCGACGGCGCTCGGCGGGACGGCAGCCAGCGTGATAATAGCAACGCCTTTCCGCATCCGTTGCCGTGGATACGCCCTTTTCCTTTTTTTTTAACGGTCATCGCTGCGTTCGTTATTTTTATATTCATCATTTTCCAAGAAAACCAACAGCGACTTTTCCGGCTAAATCGTATTAATACGTGTAGCATATATATATATAAGGTGCAGATAATATTATTATTATGTATTTAATATTTATATACACAATTTCTTTTTTTCATCCCATGAATAAAACAGTGAAAAAATATACATAATTTATTAATTTGGTTACATAACCAATATGTAGATATACTAAACAACACTAGCCAGGCGTCACCCTCGTGCGATTTCAATATTTCAACACACTAGCGTTTTAATCTTTTGTTTCCGACTTTTACTGTTGACTTTGGAATTTTCATCCTTTTAAAATTGTTGAAGTAATTTTTAAATGTAGGTTAGTAATAGAATAAAAGTTAAATAATCATACATATTACTTGGCAAAATATAGTAGTATGCCTCTTACTTACTGTGACACAACAAAACGTAATATATTGACCATTAATAATTGTATTGTTGAGATCTATGCATTGATTTTCTATTTATGAATAATACTTTATGAACTCTACCTACCTAAAAATATTGTGTTGATGCATGTTTACAATGTATATCACGGCTGAAGAACTCTGTACCCTTTTAGATATTTTATTTTCTATATAATTATTTATAATTTGATAATAATTTAAATCAATGGGACTATTTAGAAATTATACGGAATCCAAATAAATCTGTTGGCTTGATTGCTTGATATCAAATTAAGAATTATTGATATTTTTCATAAATCATATAAATATATTTTTCTGCACCCAACATCAAACTTTTAGTACACGTACAAAATAAGCATTGTAGATTATGTTATATTAAAGTATATTAAATACTTTCGCAGTACATCGTAAGTATAATAACAGATTTTATTAAGAAAAAATTTATACCACAGCCACCCTCAAGCAACGGACACACAATTAAACACACGTTCTATATAACTATTAAATACACATACCTGCAAGTTTCTTTTCTGGAGAATTTGGTTTTTTCTGTTTCTTTTCCTTTAATTTTTTTTGCTGCTCCTTCTGTTGCCAATCTATTAAACTCTGTTGAAATTCTTCCTCCGACAATTTTTCTAAACGTGCTGAAAATTAAGTAAAGAAATAATAACATTTATTACAGAATACAAACCTAGCTACATGTAAATTATATATATTGATAAAACTCAATCATTTCCCAAAAAAGGAATGATAAAAGTTTTTATAGAATATTTATAGAAATAATAACATTTATAAATAATTGCTATGATAGCACTTTATCCACAAATATATATGAATAAAATACGTAGATACTATAAGCATTTTTTGTAATAATGTTGTATATATGATAGGTTTTTTTATTATTTTAATCTGCATAATTAGTAGTTATTAAGCTAAACTACATTAAATCAATAGTTAAGATATTGTATATAGTTGCTCAAAAAATAACTAAAATACATAAAAATAACTTTTTAAAAAGATTACTAAATAATTACTATTACATAGTAGGATATGTAATAAGTAAAATAATGAAATTGAATCTGAGAATAAATTATAATACCTTTGTTTTATGGAAAATGGTTATCACTTAAATTTTAATCTCATTAGGGGGGGGGATTAAATTTATAATATTTTATGCACACCAAATCTATGTACCTAATAGTTAATTATATCATTTGTAGAATGGTTTATGAAAGCCATAAGCAATAAGTAACTATATTCCTACTTCTACATTTCATAAGTAGATATATGAAAAATATATAACGAATGAATATGAATGTTTTCAAAACATATAAGCCAATAATAATTTTATTTTATTATGAATTCATAGGCGTGTTTACGGGTGTTGCTGGGTATGCTATAGCAACACCTGAACTTTTGTTAGATGATTTATCATACTAGTATACTACCAAGTATTAAGTAACATCAATTTGACAATTTGTATTTTAGTTTAAAGCACGGCTGTAGATCTACAGCTGTTGTTTAAACTTTAAAATATAAAAACCTAATATAATGTCTATGGCCTATGGGTGTAATTGTTATCAATATCGTGGTTCCATAATCTCGGTATACATAGATCGGTTCTCAACAGTAGATAACCGTAGTATACACCCATAGAGTAATAATTACTCTATGTATATACCACTGGTTTACACCACGAAATTATGGTATCATGGTATCTTGACATCTTGTTAAATTGTATTGGTGATAATTTTATTATTAAATGATAAGTGATAATTTTTTTTTATATTGTTTTGTTTTCCATTCAATCTTTGTCGTCATGTTCTTGTGAAAGGTCATTTTCTAAACTCTCTATTGTCAAGTCAAAACTTCGCAATACTATGACAAAATAGACTTGAAGTGTTATTACTGATGTTTGTCGAGCAAGAACTATTATCAGAACTTGACTATAATAATATAATTGATGAGTTCAAAAATATCATTCCTCACAACAGACGTTTGATATTGTAATATTGTATTATTTTATATTTTTAATGTATAATTTTCAATTTTTTATATGTTTGATTTAATTAGTTTATTTAATATTTTTAATTATTTATAATGTAAGAAATCTATAAATTACCATTTACTACTCTGTAAAAATATCTAATTGATAAAATAAACAACTCATTAAATACATTTTTTAATTTTTGGAACTTTTTAACTTTTGTGACATTTTAGCAACACTTGACAAGAAAGTCTGGCCACGCCTGATTATGATTTCCACAAAACCCAGGATTAATGTATAGGTATATACTATAAGTTGTTATTTAAAAATTAATAATTAATTACCATATAGGTAACCGTATTTATATATTATATATATTAGGTGAAAGATAAGTATTAAATACATACTGTATTTGCATTTATGCATGCTGCAAGAAAAAAAAACTCATAACAATTTCTAATTGTTGTCACAAAGGATCTTTAAACAACTGGTTTGGATTTTTTTTTTTATGTACATAATTCCTCCACCAGGCTTTGGCTTATTAGGTTTTAAATCTGTCCTCGGGGTTTGTATTCGATCACAAAAAAGGGATACAACGCTATACGCAATAAGAGCCAATTAAAACCGCCATTCTAGACTAGGACATTTTTTATATTGACATTCCAAGTTATAAGTGGTTTTTTTTTAATATACGATGAGTTTTTTCAATACAATACGAAAGGGAGCGCCCATGAAATACAACACACTCACGCGCACACACACACATATATATATATATATATATATAAACCCTGCTATATATACTCCGACAACTATTAGGCGGCCAATAGAATGAGAGACGTATTAATTAACCCTATGGGGAGCCTTGATGGAGAGGGCGAATTTGACAGGGGTGAGCCCTCGGTACACAAAGGAACCACTTCACAGACTGTATTCGACATTATGTCAGAGGATGTATTAAAAAAAAAGTAAATAAATTTACCCAATTAAATAAAAGAGAAAAATTAAATCCAAGTTTAAATTGGAGTGAATTTTTTGTCACTGGTTTTGAGTGGAAAATATGGTGAACTCTATTATAATATATCTAGTATATATACGAAATAGTTTTTTTTTATTATTTTTATTCAAGAAACTATCTACTTGCGTACAATCAGAGTTAAAGTCGAAATTGAATTTAAGAACAAATATCCAAACGTAAAAATGGCTCAATACTTTTCTGTCTGTAAGGGCATTTTATCCAACAAAGAAAAACGAACAACGAACAAATAGAATTGAATCTTTTGTGTTTTCAAATCACGAGTACAGACAACATGTAAACCTAATAATAAAGCTCATGACCGTTAGGCTTTTATTGCCCTTTGTTATTAAAGGAATTCTAGAATTTACAGTATTTATAAACTTTTTTTGCTGAAACTCCAATATAAAATATAAATCATAGTTTATGGTCGATATTATGTTTTCCTTTTCCACCAAAAATCTAGTATCGGACAATATTTATTACATAAATAAAATTATTCACTATGTAAATGAGTGTAAATTGACAATAGTATTAAACAATACGATTTAAAAAACGAGACGGTGATCATACGATTAACAGTATTACAATATTCAAATCATTAATATAGTATTATAACTGTTCCAAACCAAAATATAAAATACCTCATCTAAAGTCTGACTATTTAAGTATTTACTTCATATTATATTGTTAAATAAATCTTTGATACAATAGTATGTCATTATTTTGTCAATACTACGTTTCACTGCATAATTTACTGATAATATTTGGTACATTCCGAGAATTTTAAATTTGTAACCTACTATGCATAGGTTACAATGTTACATTCAACTTTGCGAGTAAAAATTAACTTATAATTTTAATGATTTGTTATTTGTCGATAATTATTAAACTAATTAAATTACGTACTTTTTATTTTGTTTCAATATTTAAAATGTATTTAACTCAATATTTTCTTAAATTTTTTTTATATATTATTAGAATTTAGAAGTCATTTAAAACAACATTTTTTGATACTCAGACAAATAATTATATTTTAGATTATGAGCGGAGTCATGAATATATTGATTTAACAATGATATTATGTATTTTTTCTATGTTCGTTAGAAGTTAGGATTTTAACGACATTTTGCAAATTATTTTGCAGCTAAAAATTCAAAAAATATTTAATATTCTATAATTTTAAAATTTAATACAAGATTAAAGAAGTTTTACTTCACAAAAAAAATGTGTGTAATTTTACACATTTTTTTACAAGCGTCTGAAATTTAAAAATCGTGAACTAGGATTTTGGTTTGTTAATGTGACTCAAAGAGATTAACTGTAAAAACTTGAAACATTTTACTGTTACTTAAATTGTCATATCGTAAAGGTATACTTAATGAAATGTTAAAAACATTTAGATAAATTGTATAATGATAAAATATGCTTAGTAATTTATTTTGATAGACAGTATAGACCTACTTTTTAAAAATGTTTAAGTTTTAACTTTTGAATGACTGCATGCATTTTTAATTTCAATTCAATAAGTAGTATATTATATTGGAATACAAATAACTACTTCATTTACAACTATCAATGAATCTTAATTACATAATATACATAGCAATATACTAGTACTAAATATGCCTATACAACCTACATATTATATTTACGTATTATACACACATGAAATATTACCTAATTCAAGATTTTGTAAGACTTCCAAATTTACTACCTACATACATACAGAACCAGTAAATAATAAATTGAATAACTAAGTTTATCATAATAATATGTGCAAACATATTATATTCGTATTAAATATAATATTATGTTGAATGCAGAAATTAAGATATAATACATCATGTTTATTTACCAAAGCCCATAATTAAATAATCAATGTCTTAAAGAAAAATTTAAATAAATTAGGTAATAAATTATTACTCTAAATTATGGTATAGGCGTATAACTAATAAGTGAAGGCATTTTTATGAAATGTTTTTGGATTCATAACTAAAATGTTGGCACAAGTCCCAATCAATATATTTATTTTGCTACTATAATAATTTATTTTACTAGTAGTAAATCAGTTGGTTAAATTATTTTTTACTATTAACATAGAGCATTTATTATATTATTATAATAGTATATTATATATATTTATATCATATATTATTAATGTAATTACATTATGATTGAATACTGATTAACTGTGAAAAGGTTCATGGTATAAATAGATGACAACATAAAATCAATCTAAATGTTTTGAAAATTACATTGTGTATAGGTAGGTATAATATAAAATATAATAATAAACGTAAAAGTTTCAAGTCCCGGCGAATAATATTTTTGAATTACAACAAGATAACTACAATTAATATATTCTTCGTTTGAATACCTAATTTTGTCAAAATCTGAAAGTAAATTGTCTATATAAAAAATTGTGTTTCTATGTTTTTTATATTTTTTTAAGGATCCTCGTATTAAGGATTCCTTATGGTCATTGTATGCTCACAATACATTTTTAACTGCAAAATAATAACTAACAAGCAATAAATAATAAGTATCAACACTTTTCGCAGTTTGTTAGTACAAAACATTCCATTTAAAAATATGCTACGGGTACATGAAACTATATTGGAGTACCTAAATATTTCATT